ATCAGTTGAAGATACTTTACTGTATTTCCCTTTATATAAATTAGAAGCTGAAGCAATCATTCTATCAATTGGGGCCTAAGTCAGTCTTTACACTGGAAGAGAAATTACCATAAATTTTGCCTTCATACTTTCTACTGTGCTCCTTTAGTGCCACCTGCTGACTAGCCTGAAATAAAGATTACATTTTTCACATTGAGAACTAGCTGTTATGGTTTAAGCTAAATCATCTGCTCGAACAATTCTGTATCAGCTAACATATGAATTAGAAATGCCTCAATCTTAGCTAGCTCAGGAGAATTCCTTTTAATATCAGTTCCAAGCCTATACTAATCCAGGGCTTACTATCCACAATTGCATTATATAGACACCAGCATGTTAGGTAAACGTTGTACTTTCTGTTTGCAAGATATTTAATGTTCATTCACATGATTAGTCAAAATGTAGCCAGTAATGGCATTAATCAATGTGTATAACTTATATTTTGTATCCGTTGAGGTCCATGATTCTTTTGTAGAGAAACTATCTCTGTAATAAATCCTTGTTAATTCCTGTTCTTAACAAGAGTTCATATAAAATACATTGCAGATATGAAAAATCATGTTACTCTAAGAAGTCAAGCGTAGAAAAGAAAGCTGATACTCTTTTTATTTCAAACCTAAGGAAACTAATGTGGCACTGTATCAGCCCTGTGGATTAGCACCAACAGGAACAGTTACTTCACATGGCTCCAGATCTGTTTAAATTATTTTGAGAAACACCCTGCAGAATGTTCCCATTCCTCCCCCACACATACCCAGTTCTCAGTCAGTCTGGAAAACCTTTTTGTATCATTACAAGTGTAATATGCATGAATCACATAGAGTGGTCCTGGTGCCTGACAAAGAAATCTTGCAATAGGAATCATATTGCATGCTATTCTCTCACTGTCTCTGGAGGGAAAAATATGCTGGCTTTGAATGCAACTGAAATATGCCACTGAGATGTGAGGCAGATGGAGTAAAATGCCTTCAGCATCTAAACAAGTGAAGAAGTGAATCTGAAGCGAAAAAAAATCTTCAGAATGTAAGGATGTCAGCCATTATTCTAAGGATGTTCTTAATGTGAGGTCAGTTTCTCATGATATGAGGTTAATTAGAAAAATAAAGAAAATATGTCAAGAGAATAAACCTTCAGTTTTCATCTTTTCTAATGCGCATATTGGATTTCATTCTTCTGTGAGTTGCATGCAGGAATACAGCTGCATTGATGCAGTTGCAGGATGATGACTTAACGGATTAAGGTTTAATGTTGCGCTGCAAGAACAAAGAATTGTGCAGGTAGATGCAGTGGCATTACAGTTCATATCATTCTTGATGCAGAATATTTCAAGTGCATTTTTGGTCATTATTTTTGAAAACTCTGTGATTACATAGGTCTATATTTTAGCACTTTGGGGTTTCAGGTACTAGAGAAAAGATGGAGATAGCATTTCCATTCCAATTGCCATTTTTCATTATTTTCATAATTTTCTCAGAAAACTTTCTTTCGGGCTGAAATTTTCCATGCTCTGTCTCTTTACAAAAGCTATTCTAACCATATTTGAGTAATCTAGCAAATTCAAACAGCTGTACTTTTGTGGTAATGTAAGTCTGATTTTTTTTTTCTTTTGCTCACATTTCAAATGACAGTTTTTCATTTCTGTGATCTAAGACAGATAGATTTCAAGTATGACTTACTTGGAAGTGCTTGCAAAGAAAGCTTGCAAATACTGAAGATAGTTGTGATATTTTTCCTAATGTGCAGTTCAGGATATAGGTCACTAGATTTCTGCTTGTAGCCTGTTTTTTTTTTTCCTTCACAGCTCAGTCATTAATCTACTGGCTGACATCCAAAAAATCACTTCTTTTCTTTGAGCTTTCATCTATGCATCTGTTAAAAAAAAAAAAAGAAACATACATCCTATGTGAAGTTGAGACCTAATTATATAAATTCATTAATAATAGTTACTGCTTATAGGTAGTGATTGCTACTATAGTGTTTTGTTTTGTGGAGTTTTTTTTTGGTCTAATACATTTCTGTAAAAGTAGGATTGATCGCCAGGTAGACATGAGTTAGGATGATTATGTTAGTATTTATATGAAATTAGGATACTTTTGATGGCCTGCATAAATGCATCATTTATGCACTGAGTAATTTTTATTGCTTGTTTTAATTGCACCTGTTATTTATCTTCCACTGTCCTTTTTTTTTTTCTTCTTCAGCAAAGAGTCCAAACAATAAATTATATATCCGGAACAGTAAGAGAGTGTATGGATACCAGACATTTGCAAACAAAAATTACAACAATTTGGATTTTGAATGGCTAGTTTCTTGAATATGATCAAAGTAGCAATAACTGTGTTGCTCTTTTTCTTTGACATCAAACATTCTTTTTTATAACTTTGTCACATCATTTAAACCTTTGCTGTTCGTAGGCTGGGCTGTTACAATATCTGATAGGCAAGGTTAAACCTTGAGTTGACTTTGTGCAACAAAGTGCAGCAGATGCAGACTTCAGAAACCTCCTGAAAAGGGGAGAGGAAGGGAGGGTAGGAGCAAAGCCACAAGTACTTCCTGCAGAATCTACTCTGGCTTAAATCATCAAGTAAAGGTTATGAAGTTGTTTTTTCCAACTGAGCTATTCGAGGAAATTATACACTATGATTTACCTGGAGAATTTGCAGCAATGGAGATATAAGTATGACCAACAAATAAAATTCAAGGCATTTTTGATATATTAAGAATTGGTTGGAAAAAAGGGTAGCTGAAAGTTCTTTCTCCAATGTTGTCCTTATTCCAAGAGTTTGAAAGGGAAATTGCAACACAATCTGTCAATATAGTCATTATTTATTGCGAGGTAGTTCTTTTTACTCTGTTCACATGATTTAATAATGAAACTGTGAAAATTAGCTGATCTTCAGAACAGCAGACATTGCTTCTGTGTGTGTTCCAAATGAAAATATTTTGCTAACTTTAGACTATATGGGAAGGAACTTAACTTAAAATGCACTTAAAAGCAAGATGATATTTTTAACAAAAACTAAAAAAAAACACTTTTCAAACTATTTAGGGTATTCTAGTTCACATTTTGAAAGATGTTAAAATGAGCTGCAATTCATATATCTCAAATCATTGTAAAATATTTAAAACATTGGTTTTCCTGTTTCAAGAGTAGTGAAAATGTAGCATAGTTGCAAAGGTGAAATAATTTGGAACATTTCAACCCCATGCAGCAGCACACAATGAAAAGTCAATGAACTACTATTAACTGATTTAGCTCTGGAATCAGAAGCAATATAGCAACTGGAAAGTCAGAATTTATAAATACAGATGCATCACCATGATGATTTAGATAAACTGCTTGTGTGGTTTGTGTTAGTACATGCCCTGTTTTTTTGCCGTCCACTCAGGAATCCCTACGCTGCTGTGAGTGTTATAAATGTACCCATATTCATTAAGGACCAAATCTTGTATCCATTTATGTCAGCACAGTGCTCCAAGTAAACTCAGAGGTGAAAGCTGAGACTCTAAATTTCCTACAGTGTAGTTAGGAGGACAGAACAATAAGGCTGTGGACACAGGAGTGGGAAAGTGAAGGTCAAGGCATAACACAAGACAAATCATATCATAGGAGCTGCAGGCAAACAGGCAGGAGGTGTATGAAAACATAGACATCTGAGAGGAAGGTAGATTTAGATGTGATTCGTCCAGGAATTAATTTGTCCTTGACAATGCTGAGCTATGTCATTTGTAATAGTGCTAATGTATGTTCATAATATTTAGGATATCATGATCTTAACTATGCTAACTTTTGCATATAGGTATGGCTTAACATGAAAATTCATCCGTTCAGATGCAATATAGCTTATGAAATTCTTGACATTGCCTTTTTATTCAGTTAAAATATGGAAAAATTGGCAGTCCATTTAAACCTGAATCTTTTTTTCAGACTCTTCTGTAAATTCCGTTGTGAAAATAGAACATTTTTCTTATGTAAGATCTTACACAGGAAACATAATGACATTGGGTATTACTGAGCAGAGTTTCATGTCCTGCTGAGCATATAGTCAATAAACCTTGGCATGAATCCTGAAAGAAAATAATGACATTGTCTTTTAAAGTATGTGAAAATCCAAACTGAGGCAAGATGGAAGTGGGAAACACTTGTGCAGAATTAACAGAATTAACTTAGCTCTGTTTTAGCTGTTCTAACACTTCTGCCATTCCTGTAATGTTTGTGCAAATTCGCTTTTTAAATACAAAATGGATGGATTGTTGGATTTAGTTTTTATTGTTTGTAATCATCTTGTAATCATCTGTGCTTCATCAGATTTTGTCATAGAACAAACCTGAAGAATTTTTAGTGTCTTACTGAAAGCTTGTCAGCATTTACTTTACAAATTCCCTTAACCTTAGATTCTTTTAAATCTCTGAAGCTCAGCACCAGAGTTTACATTAACAGCACGCTTCCCAAGTAACGATAACTATATCACAGTGAAATCTTGCTGCTCAGAGGTATGCAGCATTTCATTTCTTATTCCATTTCAGTTTCCCCTGTAGGGCAGGAAAAGGAAATTTCTACCTAGAGAGTTCAGCATCACTCAACATTGATGTTACTTGTCCAGAAATTCTCTATACTAGGGAGACCATATGTCAACTACAGTTAGCATTTAGAATTTATCAGTATGTACTTAAAAAAGTAAAGGTCTCTTTCTTCTCTCTCTCTGTATACATTGTAAATACTAGAGTCAAGAACAGTAGGAAAGTAAACAGAAAAGGGATATTAAAAAAGAAGTGTACATCTTTTATCTCTTAGGTAGTCCATGCAGTCTTGAAACTAGAATTACTATTGTCCAAAGGGTGTCATCCTTTATGGATGCAGAAGTATCTTTTTATTTTTTCATCTTGCCCTCTGTGTGAGATGTTTGAATACTCTACTGTCAAGAGCATAAACAATAATGAGATCTTCTGTTTCCTTGCAGCTATATGTTGCCTGTTGGCAGTTCTGGAGGTTACTGTATGATAGAAATGTCTGCAGATGGAAATCCTCCTGTACAACACAGACTCTCTCTGTCATATCAAGCATCTCAGGTGAGTCTCCAAAACATCAGAAGGTAACTGGTTGCTCTGAACAGTTCATCAGCATATGCACTTTAATAATTCTCAAAGGAGAATATGTATTCTAGCCCTTTCTAACAGAGGAGTTTAATTTTTCCATAGATATCATTATAAATACATTCTGTTCAATATTTATTTTTACATCAAAAATCCATATTTTTTCAATGATATTTTCAGTTTACTTAACTCTGAAACATTTCAGCGGCTTAAGGTCCATAAACATGAAAGGTAAGAGAAAGAGAATAATCACAGAAAAGATAAAATAATTGCAAGAGAAAAAAAAAAAACATTGATAAAGTCATTTAACAAAGCCACAGTTCGGAAGGAAACCAATTAGTTTTTGTTTCACAATAATTCTGGTCATCTCTCATTTGAAATCTAGTGCATTTATGAACCATAAACAACTTGACATGGTGTCACTGTTGTTGCTAGGACTTCACTTCTGAACAATATTGGAATAAAAAGCTGTCTCCATTTGAAACTTTGAATGTGCAATATGGCATTTGCCTAAACCCAAGTTTCTCTGTTATTCCTGGTCTCTCTGCTATCTCCTCTCTGAGTTTCACATTCTATCATCACAAAACAAGATTATTTCTGCAGGATACCTGTTAAGTGTTTTCTGTATTCGACTACAGCATTTGAATTGTGATTGAGGTGCTCGATGAGTTGATTCACTTGAAGCCAGGACAGTTAACTGTAGTGATACTAATCATGTGCATTGCATCCTACGTAATTGGAGTTAGGAACCAATATTCTTCCCTGTTTCTTCCCCGAGTCAGTATTTAGGTGTTTATTCTGCCTGCTAGAAAGAACTATGAGACACTGCTCTACCTTACTCTTTGTTAATAGCTTCTGTAAGATCGACCTGGCATTCAACGGCAGAAGGTTTCTTTGTCTCTTCCTGGATATTGAGTGACCCTAACTCCCTCTGTGGAATATAAAATTAGCACTGTTGGCAGCTTCTGTAAGGAAAGCTTCTCTGTAGAAAAAAA